TAATCCCACTGTCATTAGAAAACACTGTCGTTCACTAATTTGATAGATGTTTGGTATATCATCAGCATTGTACTCACTGATTATAAATTCACATTGTGCTTACGGAGAGCTTGTCATACAGTTGCAATGCGGTGCAAAGGATGTAATAGTTCATCTCGATGGCTATACTGTAATGATGCAGATTTCAACTCGCAGTACTGCATGTTAACAAGAACCATCGATCGGCGCCGAAACGGCCGCATCCACACGTCCCGTTCCGTGCTAGAAAGGAGGTGCCGCGGAATAAATGACTCCAAGATACAAGAGGAGCAGTGTGGCTTTCGGTGAGGCAGAAGCACATTCTGACCAGATATTCTGACCAGACGATCTGCAAACCATGTTCCCGACTGTAGCAAGATTTTCAGTTTTCCCTGCCTACCAAAAGTTAGTATTCAATTTGGTCAAGGCCTACTGTTCAAAGATCGAACTGGTCAAAAACACCTGGTTTCTACTCGTGACCTTTAAACGATTGCAACCGAATTAATGTTTCTAAATTCACCGGAGTTAATGAAATAGCGTTCATATTATTGTTTCATCTTATGACAATTTCCTAAGAGTAGGACGATTTTGAAACGAACCCTGAGCTCCTTGCGAGAGTCCAGTTGTGCACTCGTTTGCGGCTTTTACGGTCATTTATATACTTTCTTCAGCATGCCGTTTAATTGCGGTTAAAAATTCTGCTTCCTCAACATCAGTAGCGGAACTGTCATGAAAGTGTTCTCAAAGTTTCATGATCAGGATTGTGCCCATCTTGTGAATCCTTGCCTTACAACGATTTTTTATTCACATTGCTGAAGCTTGTTGCTTCGTCGCTACTTTCCCTGTCGTACACGAACAGCACAAACCTTCTGATTTGAATTTCTCCAGATCGCATTTTGGCAACATCATTCTCATTCTCAATACAGTAAGTGACTCGCACGCCTAGCATCGGTGAATACTGTAACATGTGCTTAATGTTAACAACAGTGAATTTGTAATGGCGGAATTATAGTCTTACGTTGCTGCACAAAACTGAAGAATTAAATCAAGATTCTTTGGAATTCGAACATTTGACCAAAGTTTCGCAGTATATTCATAGAGAACAATCGATGACATGTAGCGTGAAGAAAGGAAGTGAAAAAGGGGACTGAAAGAGATGCCTGCAACGCGCAGAGATGTCACTTCTCCGCTAAATGACTGACCGGAGATTTATTGACTCAACACAGCCATCATAACGAAATCATGAGACAAAACAGAATTTTATAAATTCACAAGTTCAGCAGCAGCATCGCAATGCACTCCGGCTTTTTACTGATAGATGAATGATGGTTAAACCAAGCATCTAATGCTGAGTACCATCTGTCAGTTATATAGATCTAAACTCGCAATTAAAGGACGCGCGCTGATTTTGCGATCTCGCATAATCAACACAGCGGAATCACTGAACAAAATTGCAGTCTTAGAGATTCACCCTTTTGACAAAAGTTGCGTATTATACTCAGAGCGAGCTCTTATTGATGTGCAGCATGGTGAAAATGGTCACAAAGGAAACAGAGGTAGGCTCTGTAAGTTCCATAGATTGAAACTCGAGACTGTTATCATTTAACGAGCTCTCTCTTAATCGTCACAACGAAATCATCAGACAATGATTCCAGCTTTGAAATTGATTTTTCTGACGAGTTTTATATTTTATTCACAGAGAGCTTTCGAGCTATGTATAACGTGAGGGATTAGAGCAAATAACTGATTCAATCGACCACCTGCAATTACATGAACTTTAACTTTCGATTAAATGACATCGCGCTGACTTAGCAACCTCGCGCAGTCACCATGTTGGCATCAAAACATAAAATTAAAATCATCGATATGCAAAGTTTGATATCGGAGTCACATTGTACTCGCAGAGAGCTTTTGACTGATAGGCAATATTGAACGGAACGTCGAATCATTTATATAGATGATCATCTGCGAATGGCTAATTCAAACTTGCGACCGCAAAACCGTAATACGCGTACTGGCGTATGTTTGCAACTGACCACCGTTCTATTACACAGGTTCGAAGCGGCGACCGCAGGACCACCCGCTGACAACAACCAGCAATTTGCTACAGTGTGCGCCAAAACGTTCCATTCCGCTGTCCGTATTATTCACAAGTCATCGGACTGACTACCAGTTTCCCGACTGATAAAACCGAAGCAATGTGGCGCTGATCGCATGTTCAGGGAATTCATGGTTAAGACAAAGCTGTCCGTTGAACAGATTCGAACTCGGCACCTCCAGAGTTCAGAACCTGGCTCTTGAGCATTGTTCCCACCAGGCCACCACCAATACGAACATAGTTCAACGTTGCAGCCGTTAACAGTTATAACTTTCTAAATTAACTTCTCACTAAATTTTACAAGATATTCTTTTTGCTAATGGCTTTACTAGCTATCATGACTAACGATGCGTTGCAGCCACCGAAGTCACAGTTGTTGAACAGAATAGCTATGTTACTTCAACTTAAAGATAAATCAATCGATGATCGAATTTATTCGATACAAAACTTTGGTAAAACAGAGTATGGATGATAAGAAAATATTCACATTGAATTCTTCAATTAGGGCTATCGTCTTACAAATTGTTTAGCCTATATAGCTGCGTCATGATCGGGCAGCCAACCTTCAGCAGTACAGTAGCTGATGTTCGTAATTCCGAAAATAGGGATCGTATTTTCGACACTTCCTGTTTTCTTTTCATAAGGTTCATTGAAGCGCACGTCATCTGATCCACATACCGTCTGTATATTGACTATGTCTGACTCATGACGTCACTGCTGTGAAGAAAACGTACAACAGTGGAGTGCTAGTAAGAAACGTGGCAAATTACAGTAACGTTGAGTTGACCGATGTAGCTTTGAGTCAGTCGTTTCCTGTTCGGACTAAACTTTACAGAACGACTTTGCAGTGTAGAATAAAAATCAGCAACGAACAGTTTACAATAAGCCACATGACCGGTCTCGTGTGTCCGGTCTTATTGCATCTGTTGTGGAAGCAACCGCAGATGTGAACATCTCCAATAATAGCCTGCGTAGAACCACGTTGGTTCATTAGTTGCTTTCTCGGCAGGAGACGACATACATCGAGGTACTGAAAACGATGCGTCTCTAAGGCGGAGTTGTTAAAACCTGATACAAGAACTTTGTCTGAGCAGCCGCGGATGAAGTTGTAGCCAACGACAATGCCTAAAAATTCACGTTTAGATGCATAAGCAGATTCGCAAATACTTTCCACATTCTTCGTTAGTAATTCCAGAAAGCTATAAAATAATCGGCTCTACAATAGCAATACGGATTTGAAAAATTCAACGAAAGTTAAGAGTCAAACTGTACCACGTTTTGCCACGTCGCTCACAAGCGCAAGATAATCAATGACTCACATGTCATAGTTACGACTTACATCTCCTTGTTTTGGAGAGTGATTTGAAATGCGAGTTGTGGTTAGTTAGGGTGAATTACAGTCATAGTGTAAAAAACAAAACAAAGTATCCTACAACAGGAGCTATGGAAAAGACGAGAACACTGTAGCTACAGATCTGCTCTACCTCCGTCGAGTTATACGAAGACCGATATGTTAGTGCAATCCTTTTCTCATTGCATGTCGTTGAACCTCATTCGCTTAATAATAAAAGACCGCATAATGTAACAGGCTTACCGGGGGTCAGTTGGTCCGGAACCTCACCCTCAGCCCACTGTCAACGTGTGGCCATGATATGAAGATAACCACTTACCAGGTTTAAGAACGACAATCCTTATGACACACAGCAACGCGCTCGAAAAATCTGCCCCTTTCCTTCGTTCGGACCGTACCTTTCATATCTTCCTTAGCTCGAAGCGAGGGCCAATCCGCGCACGTTCCGTCTAATTACGCGACTTGCTTCCGGTTCTCACCTTACCACGATAGTTCCCCTGAGTATCCTGACAGAAGAGCTAGCATCTAATCGCCTTTTATATTTGAATCATCGTCTTCCCATGGTCTTACCGCTGAGCGCCCGGACTAAGCAAAAGACGGCGTCTTACGGCCTTTTGCACTTAACTCCGAAAGATGTCCGGAAATGTGCCACTGATACTAAATACTATACGAATCTTCACTTTTTATGCATATATCACCTTCCCTTCAAAGTTATTTAGGAAAATATCAGATGTCTAAACTCTACACAATATCTTGATGTCGTTCAATCTGAAGATTTGTTTTAAACTGAGCATTTGAACGTAACTGTCCATATAATTTAAAATAGCACACGC